AAACAAAACTCCATGTTTAAATTTGAGGACATGTAATTTTACATACGAGTAATACTCATTCACATTAGGCCCATAAGTTATTAGAAATTTTCTCCCCTTCAATTGGTTTCTAGTCACGAGCCTAATATTTCTCATTTAAAGATTTTTAGATGTGCGATGTATGTCCTAATTACTCCTTCACAACAAACTAAAATGGATCCTCATAAGAGATTAGAAATATATGTTGGATATGAATCTCCTTTTATAATTAAATATCTTGAACCATTAACATGGGATGTTTTCACGACTCGATTTGCCAAAAATCATTTTGATGAAACAATTTTTTCAACATTAGGAGAGAATAAACATTTAAAAATGTTGAAAAAAAATTACGTGGAATACTTCATCTTTATATCATCTTGATCATCGCATAAAACAATGTAAACTTAAAGTTCAAAGAATAATTCATTTACAAAGTCTTGTAAACCAATTGCTAGATGTTTTCTCTAATCCAAAGAGAGTAACTAAATCACATTTTTTCACCGAGAATGCTCTTATTAGAATCGATGTCCTAGTAAGACAACATTTTAATATTATAACAAATAAATCTAAAGCACATTTAAGGCGTGGAAGATGGATCGATTCTCACGATAAAAATCCACGAAAGAAAAAAAATAATCAAGATAAAAATATAAATGAGGTAGATAAAATGGTCCAAGATACTTATAATAACAAGTTTTCGAAGAAGCCTAAATGCTTTAAAAAATCAAGAAATTTTGATAAATTATGTTAATATAGGGAGAAAATGGGACAAAAAAGAGACATTCATTGATAATATTTTTTTATAAAATATTGCAACTGATATTTTAAATAATGATCTTGAACCTAAATCTATTGAAGAATATCGACACATAGATAATTGACCTAAATGGAAAGATGTAATCCGGGAAGAATTAAAGTCTCTTACAAAATGAGTGGTTTTGGACTCATAGTCAAAACACTCGAAGATATTAAGCTAGTAGGATACAAATGTGTATTTATATGAAAATCAAATTAAAAAAAATAAAATTGTGAGATACAAAGCAAAACTTGTAGCGCAAAGGTTGTCACAAAGACTCGACATTGACTATGAGGAGACATATTCTCCTGTAATGGATGCAATTACATTTCGTTATCTTATTAGCTCGACAATACATGAAAAACTTCATATGCATTTAATGGATGTGATCACGAGCTTATTTATATGGGTCACTTGATAATGATATCTAAATGAAAGTTTCGGAAGGACTTAAAATGCTTGAAGCATGTAAAATATATTCTCGAGAGATGTATTCAATTAAATTATAAAGATCTCTATATAGATTGAAACAATCTGGACGCATGTGGTATAATCATCTTAGCGAGTATTTAATGAAAAAATGTCATAAAAATAATCCAATTTTTCTATGTATCTTTATAAAGAAATCCAAAAAGGGGTTTATGATCATTTCTATATATGTTGATAATTTAAATATAATTAGAACTCTTGAAGACATTCTAAGTTTCATAAATTATTTAAAAAGAGAATTTGATATGAAAGACTTAGAAAAACAAAACTTGGTCTTAACTCGTAGTTCGAAAACTTAGAAGATGAAATTTTTATTTATCAATTAACATATATATATATATATATAAAGTACTATAACAATTCTATATGGATAAGGCTTATCCATTAACTAGTCCAATGGTAGTTTGCTCATTTGATGTCCAAAAGGATCCTATTTGACCTCGAAAAAATAATAAAGAACTTCTTGGTTATGAAGCATCATACCTTAGTGCAATTGGTGCATTAATGTATCTTGCTAATAATATCGGACCTAATATAGCATTTTCTATAAATTTATTAGCAAGATATAGTTCTCGCTCCAACACAAAGACGTTGGAATGGAATTAGACATATACTACGTTATCTTTGAAAAACAATTGATATGAGTTAATATTACTCTAATAAATCAAAGACAAGATTAATTGGTTATGCGGATGTAAATTATTTATCGATCCACATAAAACTCAATGACAGATCGGTTATGTATTTACATATGGAAATATAGTTATATCATGACATTCTATAAAGCAAACTATAGCTGTAACATCTTCAAACCATGAAGAAATACTAACAATTCATGAGGCAAGTCGAGAATGTATTTGGTTAAGATCAATGACCCATCATGTTCGAGAGGCATGTAGTTTATCCAATAGCAAGGAAGTTTCAACAATAGTGTATGAAGATAATATTGCTTACATAACTCAATTAAAAGAAGGATAAATCAAAGGTGACGAACGAAACATATATCACCAAAATTATTTTTCACACATGATCTTCAACGAAATGGTGATATTAATATTCAACAAATCGATCAAGTGACAATCCAACAGATTTATTCACTAAGGCATTACCTACCACAACTTTTGAAATGATGATTCATATGATCGAATGCATCGTCTTAAAGATCTTAAATAATTTTTTCAATAGGAAGAGACCAATATGGAGATTAATGTGTATAAAGAATATTATTCTTTTTTTCTTTTACTAGGATTTTTTCCCATTGGTTTTTTCTAGTAAGGTTTTAACAATACATATTCATTATACAATGAGCATTCAAGGGGAGTGTTATAAAATAATGAATATCTATATGAATGTTCATATGCTTTTCATATCCCTACTACTCATAATTCTTAATGTGATTTAATTCATCATTCAATATGAGAAATTATAAAGGTAATGCAATTGATTCAATAATTTTTATATTTTTAATTATTCATAGTCTCTTTCAATTCTCTTCTCAATTTTAAAGTCTATAAATAGATTTGATTGTTCATTAGTCCTTTTCTATAAAAGGTAATGCAATTGATTCAATAATTCATATATTTTTAATTATTCATTGTCCTTTTCAATTCTCTTCTAAATTTTGAAGTCTATAAATAGGTTTGATTGTTCATTAGTTTGTGTACTAGTATTTTGTAAATATTGAGATAATTATTTGGAGTTGTTACCTTTTGTATTCATTTTATTCAATAGTAAATTCACTTTTCTATCATATTTTTCTTTAATTCTCCTATTATTTCTATTTCTTTTATAACAATCAAGTAATACAATTGTATTTCTTCAAAAATGAATAGTAATTAAGAATTTAAATTTTACGTATGCTTCAAAAAATAAAATATATTATATATTGTCTTTAAAATTTATATTGGTGTTTTCTTAGCTTAATTTTAGGGTAGGTATCTTCTAAATTTAATTTCAATCAATAAAAAAAATTAAACATTGATATCAAGCTGAAAAAAAAAAACACTATAAAATTATTTTAGCTTAGTTTATTGTAAACTATTTTTACTTAAACCAATTGAAAGCTCATATCAAGATCTTTTTAAGTTGTTTAAAAGTTTATAATAATATATAAGAGTTAAATTATTTATTTTTTTGAACACTTGTTGCTTTTCAATCTTAATAAAATAATTAAGTCAAATAATACAATAGTATTTCTTCAAAAATGGATCGTAATTAAGAATTTACATTCTATATGCATCATAAAATAAAATATACTTTATAACATTGTGTGTTGTTGTAGTTATTAAATTAGTAAATAATTTATTATATACGATAATGAAAGATCGGGATTGTATCAATCTCGTAACATGATTGCATACGACTAATAGAGATAAAATCCATTGCAACCAATGTTTTACTTGTTCATTGCTAAACGTTTTTTATGTTGTAATTTGGTGGATTCTTTTTATCTTTGATTGATTTTTTTTTCCACCAACTCCTCATCTAGATGCTTTCTTTTTTAGTTCTTACTAGTTTTGTTACTCACGTTATCGTTGCGGTTAGGACCAAATACATAAAATTATGTTTAAAAAATTATTTTATTTTAATATCTTATGTTATATTATGCTATTGTGCTTGTATCAAAATATATCAAATCAAAAGTAAATAAAAATTCATTCAATTTTATCATTTTTAATCAAAAATTTATATTTGACTAGTTATTTTCCATATTTTCATAAATGTTTTATTAAAAAAATATTATTTATTTATCTCTATCCATATTTTTAGCTAAAACCTTATGTTATAAATTGTTTTTTTTTTTTCTAAACATCCTTTTGCCTTAAAATTTTTAATTTAAAAAAATCAGAAAAAATAAAAAATTAAGGATCAAAATGACCAGAATGAAACAAAAAAATGAGACAACATTAAATAAAAAAAATATTTGTGAAATAAAAAATAATATTTAAAAAAAGAGGGATCAAAATATAATGTCACAAAAACTTTTATAATAAATATCTTAAAATATTTGAAAACTGCAAAAATACCATTGTATAGCGAAAAAAAATAATGTATTTGAGTCTGGATAGTATTTTAAATAATGAATTAACTAATAGTTTTTAGTTTAGTTTTATTGTAATTGTAATTATATAAGAACATTATTAAGACATGAACTATTCTATGACCAAAAAGTTCAATTTTTTTTTAAAAAAAAGTTATTTAAGAATCAATTTTTTAATTTGTAATTTTGATTGGGCTATCGTTCAACTATTTTCTATTTAAAATTAAGTTTTTTTCTTTTTTTTTCAAGTTTTCTGTAGATGCAGGTTTCATTTAAAAATGAAATTGTCTCATTATACATATATATATATATATATATATATTTCACGTGTCAAATAGGTATTGAGGCACGTATTAGAGGATTATCTTCTGTTAAGGCCTATTACATTTTCCAACAACGGAAGGTTGATTTAACTGAAGATGAACTTAAAGTTAAAAACTTGCACAGGAAAACGACTTCTGATTTCTGCGTCATTTATTAAAAACTTGCCATTCAACAAAATGTTTTCAGCAAGCCTATATAACAAAACAAAACTTAATAACTGCATTGACATGATAAAAAACTAAAATTGTCTCTGCCTCTGTCTTGTACGGCTCGCCACGCGACCATATGATGCATATCATATCCATCATATCTGTCGTCATCTATCTCAGCTCAGTTCTCTGATTCAGCACCATGCCTCCAATTCTGATCAGGCAATGTCTGCAAGGCAAGTCTTGTCTTTCCCACCTGTTGTTGAACATTTAACAAAGAGATATGGCCCCAGATAAGCACAAATGGTTGCAAATTATTGAAAATAAAACAGAGAAGGGAAAGTTTTGGGCCCAACCTTTGTGTCATTATTTTCTTCACTATGCTTGTTGTCGTTGGCTATCTGTAGTTTTTCTTTCATCATCTTTCTAAGCTGCCTTAGACTTAATTCATCCGATATATTCTCACCAATTACCTTATTATTTGCTTTTTCTTTCTTAAGCTCCACATTTTTGCCACTTTCGTCAATGTTCTCCTTGTTAATTTCTAAGGCATCGATCATCTTCCAAATTGTTGGCTGTTTCTTAGTTGAAGATTTCCTTGGACTTAATTCAGTTGGACGAGGAAACTGACCCTGAAGAGTGTCAGCTGCAAAGGGTGATAACCCCGTTTGGCCTGGGATTGCGCCACCAGCAACCCGGCGTTGATAGGGGGAAGCTGGATTTTTGCCCAATTCTGGAGGTGCCGCCATGGTGATTTCTTCTTGTGACATCACAGTAATATCAACCAAAGTCTCCGAACTGCTACGCTCGTGCACCTTGTGTGGGATTTTCCCTGAATCATTGTCCGATGCCTGAGTACAGTAAGAAGTCATCCGATTTACAGATCCTGGATTCTCATCTGAGTTACAAAATGTGTGGCATTCATGGGCTATCATGTCAAGAAGGTCCTCAGCGTCCATCACATGGACTTCAACAAGTGCTTCATTATTGGTTAAAAAAGACCCGGCTATTAACTGGCCACTTTCAGTTTCATCTCTGCTTTCTGACTTCTGATAGCTAGCATCTTCAGGGGCTGTTTCTGCTTTACCATTTTCATTAGCTTCGTCTGATCGATTGCTATCAGACTCTCCCACAATTGCAAAGTTCGATTGGAGATCATAATTGTCATGCTGCTTATCTTCTGTTGAAATCATTTCAGAGTTTTTATCCTCATATTCACATACTTTAAGAGTTGGCGAATCGGACACCATAACTCCAGACTTCACGATTCCTGCAGTAATCAGAAAAATTAGCTTTGCAAGGCTTTGACACCATTTAAGAAGCTTCAGAGAAGCACAGAACAACAGAGGACCATGAACATCAAATTGTGAATAAGAAATGAATAGTTGTTTATATATTGAAGAAACATAAAATCAGATTACCCTTCTCGTAAATCGGTTCCTGATTCATTGGTACTGCCTTATCTGAGCTTTCAACTAGAATAGGATTTGATTTCTCCAAACTCTCATTACTGTCTTCATCCCGTCCATTTAAGCCTTCAACTTTTCGATAGCAATGATCCACTTCACAGTCATTATTCTTGTTGTCCTCTTCAAGTTCGTTGTTCATAGCGCTTTCGGTATCCAATGAAAGAACGTCAGGATTATCACATTTCGCAGAACCTATTTCCTGTTTTGCATTGCAATCTTCAAGCTCATCACTGTTTCTCTCCTCTTGAAGTTCATGCTTGATTTCCCTTCTATCCTCCAGTGGATGATCTAGGTTTTGGCATGAAAGCTCTTCATTATCAATGGTTTTCTCTGAAATCTTTTGGGGTACTGTCAGCAAATTAGCTCCTGTATCACAAGATGACGCTGATGTTAGAGCTCAAAAAAACCAAAATCCAGCAAAAAAGTTCCTGGTAGTTTTGTTCTAATTGCTTGTCTCTTGTTCTCATATTGCATTCAAGTTGTTTCCCAATAAAATCTAGAACAAGAACTGTATTCTGATCACCACAGATGCAAAATGAAGAACTTTCAATTTTATATTTTGTTTCTTTTTCAACACTTAGCAACCACACACACCAAAATATTTAATCATGGACAATAACAAAAAGACTTACCAAGCTCTTCATTCAATTCAACATCCTCGATTTCCTTGCACAATCCATCCATCTTCAATGGCCCAACGCTCCCTTTATCCTTTAAGCCCAACTCTTCCATGCTCTTCTCCAACAACCTCACTGAATGCCTCGTGCTGTAAACCCTCTGAACCGATGATAGTTCTTCCTTCTTGGCATCTACTTTCCTCCTAGCTGAAACTGCTGGAGCCATCCGCCGGCTACTCCGTGTTGCTGGTGTCTTTGGCACATTGTTGTTCTCTTGGTCCCCAACACTTTCCATCATTTTAGTCTCCATTTTCCGGCTAGAATGACCCTCCACAGCAACTGTTCTTCTTGTTGTGCAGCGAGTACGAGTCAAGGATTTTTGTGAGCTTTCAGGCTCAATACGAAAAGGCTTTTTGCGAGTCGAGGTTCTACAAGAAGTTTGAGGAATTTCTGGTGATTCAGGCATAGCTTTCTTTGGGGATTGTTGTGGATCGAATTTGGGTGCGTTGATGAATTCGTCAAGTCCTTCCACCTGAAAAATTAACCAACTTTTTTTAGAATAAAAAACTATAGAAAGTTTTCAATTCCTACTTCAATTTATAGCTAACAGTAAGATCAGATTGGTTTTAGAGTAAAGAAGAATAACATCTAAGGTTCATAAGAGAGAAAGCTTGGGGATTTTAAGAATTCAATTAGGGACTGGACTGGATAAAAAAAAAAACAATTAATTGAAAGCATTCTTTGGCTTCTGAGAAATCTAATTGGTATCTATATAATAATTGAAGATATGGGTGTCCCATATTTCATTAGATTTCTTCCCTCTGATCACTAGCAACCAAACAAGACAGAGAAAAAGAAGCATTCAATAATAATTTGTTATTGTTTGGATACCAAATAATTCCACAAGTATTTAATGGATGAACATAAGTTTTTTTTTTTTTAATCTTTTTCCAATGGTTTAGTGGTCTAAATGAAACAAATCAATAGCAATAAAATCAAGAAAATCTCAGATGGAGATGGCTATTATTTAAGATTTCAAGAAAGATCGCTCGCTCATTAGTAGAACTGGATCTGGAAAATTAAATCTCGAATTCATTGAATACAAGAAACAATATGAAATGGGTGGTTAATCAACTTCGAGGAAAAGATTATACTACGTACCTTGTGTAGAACTTTGAGGGCATCGGCCATGGCGATATTGGTCATGTTAGCAGGGATCTTATTCTTCTTGCAGAGAGCTTGGAGCTCTTTCCTTGAAAGACTAAGGAAATCCATCTTTGAATTGATAATGAAAATGAAAAACAAGATGTTTTTGCTTTGCTATGCTTTGGCTTTGTGCGGGTGGCTGCTGCCGAGAGAGAAGGGCAATGGCTATATAGCTGTCTTGAGGGGCTCTGGCCTCGGAGGAACAAACCCTAGAGCATATGACCGTTGGAGCGTGAATTTGAAATTTGAATTCTTACTTTTTTTTTTTTTTTTTTTTTCATTTTTGCCTTTTTTAAACCGGCGTATATCTATCAAATGTTTTATATATGTTATATGTTAGATTTTGTTTTTGTTTTTTTGTTTTTTTGTTTTTTTTTTTTGGCCTTTTTAACCCAATGTATATCTAGCAAACGTTTTATATATGATATATGTTGCATTTTTTTTTTTTTAATCTTTTTGCCTATTTAACCCAATGTATATCTACCACATGTATTAAAGTGGCATTATTCCACTATCTTATTTTATCTAATGAAATAATATGTCTGCATTGAATATACATCTTAATAACTCTATAATTTTAATTTCTAATACAATTCTTGTTTATGTTCTTGAAAAGAAATAATAATAATCTTTCTCTTTTTTTCTTTTTTTCTTTTTTAATAATTTCAAATCTATTTTTTAAATCTAATGTTTTCAAAATTTTAAATAATTATGAATTTAGATCTATATGATTTAAAACAATGATTTTTTTTTTTGTCCTCAATATTTGAGGTTTTTTTTGTTGGCTTGTGTCGATTGAAAGTTCATTCGAATATATATTATGGATTGGAGAATGAAATTTCATTCTTAAATAAATTTCAAATGGTATAATTGTCGGGTCCATCAATAAAAAAGGTTTTAATACCTTATTGCGGACTTATTGCTTTTATTGATGGGGCTTGATAATGCGGCTTGTTTCTCATTGATAAGTGGTGGTAGGAGATTTTTGAGTTTGAAACACGAAAAAAAAAATCATACTATAAATAACCTAATAAAAAAAAAACCTCAAAGAACTCTTTTGTAAGTGCATAAAATAAAAAGGATGGAATGCTACTCAAAAAGTCAATAGTTTTTGTCTTAATAGGTCTCTTTTCACTTGATTAGAATCCTTTGTGATACTTGTAATCTATATTTGAGCCTTGTGAAAATTGTAATGACTACGTATTATTTTCAGTATTAATAAAATTATATTTTTCTATATAAAAAAAAAAACCACAAAGAAAACCAACATTTTTCAAGAGTTTTATTTTATTTTGATTTTGTTTAAATTTTATGTTTAATAATATATGTTTTCTTAAAAAAGATATTTTTAGAGGATCTAACTTGCTAAATAGGAATTGATATTTATAATTACCATACTTTTTAGTTCTTAATATATACTTTTAATATTGAAGTCAATAAGTCATAAAACAATACTAAAATATTAATAATAATTTAAGATTTATAATATGTGATTTTAGGCATCCAAAAAGATTTGGGTGATGATTCATTGAGTGACTTGTTGCAATATCTGCCAACTCAAATTTAAGTTTGTAAGAACAAAACAATATATTGCATGACTTGTATTTTTGGAAAATCAAGTCATAAATACTTATGCACGATCTATTATTTCTCTTGTATTATTATTTTTTAAAATATAAAGAAGAGCCATTTAAAATTTTGATAATATGAAGATTTTAATTAAACATAACAAATACATTAAATGAGATTAAGTTAGTCTTTGCAATAAATGATGAAGTGATAATAACAAAAAATGAAGTGAAATAACACCACTCATGTTTCATATATGTTACTGCGATTAAAAAAAAAAAAAGGAAAAAAAAATCGTAAAGCACTTTTTTTTTTTAACAAATAAATAGTTTAAAAAGAAATAAAGTATAAATTGCCAATTGATCATAGCTTTTTGACAATTTGAATTTTACCATCGACATTAAGAGTTTATTTGCTTTTTTACATGAAAAAATAAAAATTGTCCACATTCTACAAGTAAAGAGATATTCTATTTTAATCAAGCAACTCAATTAAGGGAAAAAACAAATTAAGATATGACTATTTGCTGCAAGGTTAAAAAATAAATACGAATTTTAATAAAAATAATCGGTAAAAGTTGTTAATATGCAAAATTCTTTCTTATATATATATATACACACACACACACACACACACACACACACAATGGCCTATATATGATAAATAGATCACACATACAATTGTGTGTATATTCATAATTTAAGAGAAAACTATACGGAAAATAGGAAAAACTACCGTTCATTCCAACTAACTCACCCCCTCAAGTTGGGGCGTGGATATCACACATGCCCAACTTGGATAGTGAAGTATCGAACGGTCCATTAGTGACGGCATGAGTCATAATGCCATCCAATCGATACGAGCTTCTAGGACAAAGAATCTCTATTGCACTAGAATCGAGATTATCTTTGATATAGTTCTTATCAAGTTCAACATGCTTAGTTCGATCATGTTGTACTTGGATTATTAGCAATCTTAATGGCTGTTTTGTTATCACAAAATAGCACCATAGGTTTTTTGGACCAAACCCAAGTTCCTCTAAAAGAATTTTCAACCAAGAAAATTCGGTGATTGCATGATGCATAGCACGATATTCGAACTTACGCACTAGATAATGAAACAACATTCTATTTTTCACTTCTCCAACTCACCAAGTTGCCTCCAACAAATGACAAATATTCGAAAGTAGATTTTTCATCCGAGTTTACGACCAACAAAATCGAGCACTGTATAACCCACAATATCAAGATGTCCATGTTTGGAGAATAATATACCTTTCCTAGAGTCTGGTTTTAAATAAGCTAGAATTCGATTCATAGCATTCATGTGTTGATCACTTGGATTGTGCATAAAGCCGACTCACGTGACTGATCGCATATGCTAAATCCAACCTTGTGTGAGTTAAATAGATCAACTTTCCCATATCCTTTGATATCTCTCCTTGTTTGTTGGAATTTGATCGGGATAAATAGATATGCCATGATTTACCTCAATAGAAGTATATATAGGCTCACGGGTAGAGTTACCGAGTTTCAGCTAGGAGATTTAGAGTATACTTCCTTTAGGAAAGAAACGAGGCCTTGCTCGGATCGAGAGACTTCAATGCCTAGAAAGTATTTAAGAAGTCCCAACTCCTTTATCTCGAATTCTTTGGTCAAATAGCTTTAAAGTTTCTCAATCTCATTTTTGTTATTAACAATTATATGATCAACATAAACAAGAAGCAAGGTAATATCATTATGATCATGTTTATAGAACAAGGTATGATCTGCTAAGGCTTATTTGAATCCATATTCCTTTATTGCTTGACTCGATCTCCCAAACCATGCCCTTAGTGATTACTTTAAAGCCTTTTTTAGTTTACGTACCTTTCCCGGTTCTAGTGTAAATCTTATGGGTGGATCCATAAATACTTCCTCTATCGGATCACCATGAAGGAAAGCATTTTTCATATCAAACTGTCATAAAGGCCGGTCCAAACTAACTGCAAGTGATAGGATGACGTGAATAGTATTCATCTTGGCAACTAGTGCAAAAGTGTCCTAATAGTCAATACCATAGGTTTGGAGATAACCTTTTGCGACCAGCCTACTCTTGTATCTTTTCATCATCCCATCCGGCTTGTATTTGATAGTATATACCCATCTACTCCCCCATAGTCTTCTTTCTCATTGGTAACTCGACCATTTCCCAAGTAGAATTCTTTTGGAGAGCCATCATTTCCTTGACCATTGTATCCTTCCACTTATGATTTTCAAGGGCTTCCTAAAAATGACAAGGAATTGGTACGGAAGATAGTCGAAGGGAAAATGTTAAGTTATTTTTAGACAAACGATGATAGGATATAAAGTTAGAGATTGGGTAAACAACATTGGAGGTTTTTAAGAAACCAAATCTATCGATTGTTTTCTTTCATGAAGAGGATATCTCCTATTTTGATCAATATTAGAATTAAGATTGGAATTTTCAAGAGATTTGGAAGAATGGATACATACCTCGGTGTTAGTCCTAGAAGATTCATTTGATGGCATGGTAGTATCATCAAGGGAGGTAGTAGAATTAGGAGGCGGAATAGTGATATCTTCCTTTCTCCTAGAATATCCCTTCTCAAATAAACGAGTTGGTCTCTCAAGTCTCTCATCATCCAATTCAATTCTATTTCCTCAATAGACGGATCATCTAAAACTAAGAATTTCCTATTTGCCTTAATGTTATCCGTACTTGAGGTCAATATCCGCTTTTCCCCCAACCATAGTTATTCATCTTCTTTACTACCAATCTCCCCTAAAGAGGAACCATAGATATATTGCAAGACAAATAGGACTCATTTTTATAAAATTGAACATCCATCGACACATAATAGGTTCCTGTAGAAGGATAAAAACATTTATACCCTTTTGTGAATTAGAATATCAAAGGAAAACACATTTAATAGCATGAGGATCAAGTTTATCTCTATGAAGAGAATGAACATGAACATAACATACACAATCAAAAACCTTAGGAAAAATATTAAGAGTAGATGAAATAGGATGAAATCTAGATAACATCCTTAAAGAAGTTTGAAAGTCAAGGATCCTAGCAGACATTCAATTGATAAGAAAAATAATAGTCATGACGACTTCGACTCAAAAACGTTTTGAAACAGATCATAATAAAACTTAAGGCTCGAGCCACTTCAAGGAGATGATGATTCTTACGTTCGTTGTGCCATTACGTTAGGGTGTGTAAATACAAGTTGTTTGAAAAAGAATGACATGTTGTGTCATGAACTTAGCAAGAGATTGATTCACAAAATCACGACCATTGTCGGAATGAAAAACTTTAATTTTAGTGTTAAATTAGGTGAGAATCATGTTGTAAAACCGAGAAATAATATAAAAAATATGACTCTTAAATTTCATCAAATATACCCAATCGATCCTAGTACAATCATCAATAAAACAGAAAATATTTATGTCCCGAAGCAAAAGGAGTGAAAGGACCCCACACATCGAGTA